TCACTATGTCGCCCTGGGTAGAGTGCTGTGGTGTCACAGCTCACACCAATCTCCAATTCTTGGGCTTAAGTGATTCTCTTGTCTCAGCCTCCCAAGTAGCTAGGACTACAGGTGGCCACCACAGTGCCCAGCTATTTTTTGTCGCAGTTGTCATTGTTGTTTAGCAGGCCTGGGCCAGGTTCACACCCACCAGTCTCAGTGTATGTGGCAGATGCTGTAACCACTGTGCTATGGGTGCCAAGCCATGGTGTTTGTTTTTTTGTTTTGTTTAGTGATGTCCATTCCTCATTCCTATATTTTAGTGACACGATCAAATTTGCCTATTAGAGAAATGGTTCTGGTGGTAGGTTGAGAAGTCAAAGAAGGAAACAATTTCAGGAGTAAGGAGATGATCCAAAGTCTCAACAGCCACAGAAAACTCTAGATAAGAACTGAAAGGTGTCCATTGTTTTTGACATTTATGTCATTGGTGGGGACCTCTTGCCATGAGAGTTTTCAAGGCGTAATGCAGGGGAAATGTGTTGAAAAGCAAAGGACAGGGATGAGACAGCAAACATGGGTGGCTCTTCCAAGGACCTTGGCTGTGGGGAAGGATGTTGAAGGCTGGTCAACTGATGAAAACCTTGGAGGGAGGTGGGAAGGTATTTTTTCTTGCTCTCAGTAGAGTGCCCTGGCAGCATCACACTGCTCATAGCAACCTCCAGCTCTTGGGCTTAGGTGATTCTCTTGCCTCAGCCTCCCGAGTAGCTGGGACTACAGGCGCCCTCACAACGCCCAGCTATTTTTTTATTGTTGTGGTTTGGCCAGGGCTGAGTTTGAACCCACCACCCTCGGTATAGGGGGCCAGCGCTCTACTCAGGTGCTGCCCAGGGAAGGTATGTTTTAAATATGAAATACATTTCAATACATTTCTAGTTGTAGGGAAGGAATAGGTGTAGAAAGAAAGTCTAAGAATAGAGAACTAAAAAGGAATATTTACATTTTAATACTGTAGGAATTCAGAGGGAACAAATTTGCGATAATTTAGGGGGTTTAGCCTTGAGACAGGGCTCTTCTCCCTCTGAGTCACTTCATGTGTAGCTTAGGGATGATCACAGACACCTGCCACAGGATGACCAGAGCCTTTTATATGTCTGAAGCAGACCTGAATTTTCTAGTGGGTGGGCAGGAGTCCTAGGAGGATAGAAAAGCATCTAGCCCAGTGTTCCCAGCCCCTTCCAACTCATGGGTTGGTTGGGTAGCCCTCCTGTCACGTAGGTGTGCAAGTGAGGGGTAGGGAGAGAGGCCGGCTCAGTTACCACATGGAAGCTCCACCACAGAGAATTAGGGAGCTGTGGGAAAGGAGGCAATCACCATTCCTAGAGAAGAGTGTGGAAGGATGCACCCTTCTTCATTCATAGTAATTTCAAGCCATGGGGGTTGGTTTGTGGGGAGGAGGGTGGGATTTAGGAGAGGTTGTGGTACTTGTGCATTTTCAATGAGCATGCATTATTTTTATAAAAAGAAAAGACATAAAATGAAAAATATTCAGAGATTACCACCTTAGGTGATGTGTATCAATCCTGAATTATAGCGGCTAGTGAGAAAGATATGAGGTGCTGAAGAACGCCATAGAACTGTAACGTTGGTGGTGATAGTTACTCAGCCTCGTGTAGTTAATTTAAAACATCTTATTGTTCATTCAGCAAGCATTTACCAAGCCACCTGTCGTGTGCTAGGCATATCCATCACTTCATTTTCCTCTCACTATGACCTGGAGAAGTGACCTTTACTCACCCCAGTCGACAGGTCAGAAAAGGCAAGAGACAAAGCTGTTGGTTTTCTCAAGCGCAGGACATGACCCCAGGTCTTCAGATTTGAAGCCTGGCACTTTTCCCACCGCGTCATGGCCACCCAGTGACTTCATTACTGGGATTTACAAAAATGGTTTAAGATCCGTTTATTTTACATGACAGTGGAGACACATCAAGTGGACTTATCCATTTGCAGTAAGATGTCTCCTGTGGGGACTGTAGGACTTGAGCAGTTTCCTCTGTCAGCTCAGCTTTCATCCGTCCTTGAAGCTCCGATGCTGAAGCAGAACATTTGTTTTCCTGGCTCATACACTTCATCACTACACCTTACAGAGCGCTGCCTAGAGACAGCTCTGGTTGCAGTGTACCTCAGATGTCCCCCAGGTGAGTAGTGCCGTCACTGATGTCCTTGTGTCCTTGCAGATCACTCCCGAGTACCTCCAGAGCGTCTGTGTCCGCCTCTTCAGCAACCAGATGCGGCAGAGCCTGGCGCATAGCGTGGACTTCACGAGGCCTGGGACGGTGAGGCTCTGCTGGGGACAGGGGGCCCTGTGGCTCAAAGGGCGCTGACCCCATATGCTGGAGGTGGTGGGTTCAAACCCAGCCTAAGCCAAAAAAAAAAAAAAAGAACGTAACTAAAAAAAATGAAAGAGCATGAGAAAATAGCATGCAAGAGACTGCCTTTCAGTTAGCTTTTGAGGTCTAGAAACTCCCAGAAGGCCTTTGTCCAAAGAGGGCATAGCTGAAAGACACCCCTTGGGGAGGGTGAGGAGAGAGGTGTGATCTGCAGTTGCTGACAGCTCCCAGGGCCAGGATCAGTAGGAACAAATGAAAACTTCATTCTCCTTTTACAGTAACTGCTGTTATGGAAGTTGTCTGTTCTCAGGCAGGGGCTCACTCTTTCTTTCTTTCTTTCCTTTCTTTCCTTCCTTTCCTTCATTTCCTTCTTCCTTCCTTTCTTTCTTTCCTCTCTCTCTCTCTTTCTTCTTTTCTTTCTCAAACTTAGAGAAAAGTTGCACAAAGGACATGGGTATGTCCTTCACCCAGATTCATCAACTGTTAGCCTTTACCTCATTTGTTTGTTCTCTCTTTCTCTCCACACACGCA